CACACCCCCCGAGGTCAAATAAGCCCCGTCCACCACCACTCTCGGGGTGCAGCCCTCCAGCCAGTTAGTGACCCATCTGACTGTAGGTGTCAACGCCACAGTCGCCTAGTTTTTGAATGACAATGGGGTGAGAGACGGTGTCGAAGGCCTTCCTGAAGTCCAGAAAGACTATGTCCACTGCGACCCCTGCATCTAAGGATTTTGTGACCTGGTCGTAGAAGGCCACCAGGTTGGTCTGACAGGACCTGCCTCGAATGAACCCACGTTGGTTGCCCCTGAGCATCACCTCCCCTGCCAGCCCCTCGCGGACGTGCCCAGGATAACTCTCTCAACAAGCTTCCCCAGGACCAAGGTAAGACTGACTGGCCTGTAGTTTCCTGGGTCCTCCTTCCTCCCTTTTTTGAAAATGGGGACCACATTGGCCCTTTTCCAGCCCTCCGGCACCACGCCAGAGCACCACGAGTGCTCATAAAGCCGTGCCAGGGTCCCGCAATGACCTCTGCTAATTCCCTCAGCACCCTGGGGTGGAGATCGTCAGGACCAGCTGATTTAAACACGTCCAGTCCCTGTTGAAGCATCCACAGCCACCACGTCCACCCCACGTCTGGCGATCCGTGCCTGGGCCCTTGCCTGCTGCGGGGAGGACAGACGAGAGCGCGGCTTTTGTCCCAGGTTCCTGCCAACAGCCCCGTAGCCACGTCTGAGCTGCTCAGGGGAGCTTCCAGCCCCGTGGCCAGTGCCTCCGTGGAAGGGCCGTGGTCGGAGGGGCTCTGGGGACACCCTGACTACAGGCTCAGGCAGACAGCGCCGTGCAGGAGCCCGGTGACAGCCAGGGACTTCCGTCCTGCGCAGAAGGGCCCCCCCCCCCCCCCCCTCCCCCCCACTCCTTCCTCTGCCCTCGGGCTTCTCCTGGCCACGGAGGCCACAGTCTCCCAGGTGCGTGGGCACCTGGGTTTAGAGCCACTCCAGGCATCAGCTCGCAGCAGGGCCAGGGGACACGGCCTCAAGCTTCTGGGAGTGCATTGCACACGTGCGCACACACATGAACTCTGTCTCCAGAGGGGTGTGGGTCTGTGGTTGTGGGAACTGTTTCCCTAATAGTACATACATGTATGCACATGCACAAGCACACACCATATATGTGCACACACACATATGCACATGCACATCATATATACACATGCATATATGAACACTCGCATACTGTCTCTGTACACACTTATGCGCACCTCACATGCACAAGCACATGCATACATATATATACTATCTATGCACACGCCTATGTACACATGAGTGTACACATGCATACAAAGTCTAGGCACACACATATGCATATGCCCACACACCATCCATGCACATGAACACACAAGTGCACATGCATGCACATACATACCGTCTATGCATGCACACATACGCATACTATATGCACACACACTGACTACGCATGCACACACCATACTGAGTATGCGCACACGCATGCACGCACACATACACACCCCGGCTATGCACACACATACTATATATGCGTACACACCCGCTGGCTCTCTCCTGCAGCAAACTCCCTGTCGCTCCCCTCCAGGGGCGAGGCAGGCCATGCCCGGCTCCATCGTGCTGCCCGTGCTGGTCCTGGCTGGTGCCCTGCGCTGCCTGGGGCCGGGCGTCGCTGGGGGCACGTGGCCGTGGCACCGTGCAGGCTCCGGCCAGGGCTCCTGGGGCCAAAGGCCATGGGGTCAGAGCCGGGCACATGCGGCAGGGAACCTGCACCCATGCAGCACAGCCCCCAGGGGCCCTGCACCCACCCCTTGCCCCATGCCAACCCCAGCAGTGGGTGCTGCAGCTGCATGGGGCAAAACCAGGGCTCACGGCAGCAGGAACTGGGCAAGGAATTGGCATCTGGGCCCCAATCCTGGGAGATTCCCAGCCTGGTGTGCCTCCCCCTCCAGGCCACGGCCCAGCCCAGGGGCATCCCCGGCTGCCCACGGCATGGGGCCTGGGAAAGCCCGAGCCCGACATCCCCCAGTCCCAGCCTCGCTGCACGTGGCTGGGTGTGCCAGGCCTCCCGTGGCGCCGTTGCACCCCCAGGCACCAGCTGCACAAAGCAGCCCCTGCTCCCCCCACACCACAACCACCCCTGGGGGCCAGCCCGCCAGCCCGGCCCCCACGCCCGCAAGCACAGGTCCCACACCGGTCCGAGCAAACGGGCTTTATTGAGCCGTGGGCGCCACGCCACCTCCCTCGGTGGCGTGGCAGACGCAGCCCCGAGCCGGACCCACAGCCTCGCTGCACCCCAGGTTGCTGTAGCCGAGGCTGGCCCGCGGGGCTGAACCAGGGGGTCCCTGGCCACGGACTCCACGCCCGGGTCACCGGGGCTGCAGGCCGAGGCGGAGGTGGTGCTCCCGGGGCTGCGTGCAGCAGCGGGGACGGCACAGCTGCGCCCGGGCCCCCCCATTGCCCCGCAGCGCGTGGCAGCGCCAAGCCTCGGCCACGCTCTCCATCTGCCAGGCACAGGATGGGGCTTAGCCATTGGGGGGTGCCTGGGGCCCACGAGCTCAGGGGAGCCCCCCCATGTGCCTCCTCTGGCCCCCAGCACGGCTCAGGGGGGCATCGGGGCACCCCCCCAGGGGAGCCAGGCGTGATGCCGTGGTGATGGGCACAGTGCCTGCCCAGGACACGTGGACAGACGTGGGGACGGATGGGGCAGGGGGTCTCACCGGCAGCAGCGGGTCCTGCCG